GGATGTGAACCGGGTCTTCAGGAAGCAGAAATCTAGAAAAGCTTCAGGCCCAGATGGTGTTTCACCTGCCTGTCTGAAATCCTGTGCTGACCAGCTGGCCCCCATCTTCACACAGATCTTCAACAGATCACTGGAGCTGTGCGAAGTCCCTTCCTGCTTCAAACACTTCACCATCATCCCCGTCCCAAAGAAACCCAAAATTACAGGACTTAATGACTACAGACCTGTGGCTCTAACGTCTGTGGTCATGAAGTCATTTGAAAGGCTGGTTTTAGCTTATCTGAAAGACATCACTGGACATTCACTGGACCCCCTGCAGTTTACTTACCGAGCCAACAGGTCTGTGGATGATGCCGTCAACATGGGACTGCACTACATCCTGCAACATCTGGACAGACCAGGGACTTATGTGAGGATCCTGTTTGTGGATTTTAGCTCTGCATTCAACACTATCATTCCAAATCTCCTCCTGTCCAAACTAACTCAGCTATCCATGCCCACCTCTGTCTGTCAGTGGATCACGAGCTTCCTGATCGACAGGCAGCAGCTAGTAAAGCTGGGAAAATTCTCATCCAGCACCCATACGATCAGCACTGACGCCCGCCAGGGTTGCGTCTTCTTCCCACTGCTCTTCTCCCTCTACACCAATGACGGCACATCTAAAGAGCCCTCTGTCAAGCTCCTAAAGTTTGCAGACGGCACCACACTTATCGGCCTCATTCAGGATGCTGAGTCTGCTTACAGACAGGAGGTAAAAGAGCTGTCTGTCTGGTGCAGTCTTAACAACCTGGAGCTCAACACATTCAAAACAGTGGAGATGATTGTGGACTTCAGGCGAAACACCCCAGTACTCCCCCTACTCACCATCATGGACAGCACTGTAACAACAGTGGAGTCATTCAGATTCCTAGGCACCACCATCTCTCAGGACCTGAAGTGGGACATTCACATTGCCCAGCAGAGGTTGTACTTCCTTCGCCAACTGAGGAAGTTCAACCTGCCACAGGAACAATTGAAGCTGAAACAATTCTACTCTGCCATCATTGAATCCGTCCTCTGCATTTCAATAACTGTCTGGTTCAGCTCAGCTACCAAATCTGACCTAAGAACACTACGTAGGATAATCCGGACTGCTAAGCGAATCACTGGTACAGCCCTCCCCACCTTCCAAGAACTGTACTTATCCAGAGTGAGCAAAAGGGCTATCACTGTCATTCTGTTGTACCGTGGTTCTTCTGTCACTAAAACAAATTCCTTGTATCTGTAAACATAGCTGGCAATAAAGCTCATTGTGATTCTGATTCCGAAAACCTGTATCAAATCACGCAAATTTATTGGCCAATGGCGCAGGCGTCCCCTTAGTGACGCTACTTCACTCGCCTAATAATAGTGAGTGCACCATCAATTCCTCAGATTCTTTACCGAAGAAGCGTCTTTGGCAGCGCAAGGGGCTTGGCAGCAAACGCAGCGTCTCGTTCCCTATTCAAGAAACATGGGTTACACATGCGTTCCCTTTCATAGGTTCACTCAACGCTGCATAATGCTGCGATGATGCAATGGCAACGATATACCATACATGCCAAACTAAGCATTGTGTCATCTGGCCTGAAGAGTGTGAACCAGACTAAACTCAGACGGCTGGTTCATGCAAATAAAGACCCAGGAACCAGGAGCTGCATCCAAATCCAGGCTGTAAAACCTGATTAAAATGTGCAAGGAGGACCACCCTGCCGCAACCCAAATATCTTCCAAAGGGACCTCTTTAAAACTAGACCCTTGCTGGATCCTCTTCAGTTTGCCTACAGAGCAAACAGGTCTGTGGATGATGCAGTCAACATGGGACTGCACTTCATCCTGCAACATCTGGACAAAACAGGGACTTATGTGAGGATCCTGTTTGTGGATTTTAGCTCTGCATTCAACACTATCATTCCAAATCTCCTCCTGTCCAAACTAACTCAGCTATCCATGCCCGCCTCTGTCTGTCAGTGGATCACGAGCTTCCTGATCGACAGGCAGCAGCTAGTAAAGCTGGGAAAATTCTCATCCAGCACCCATACGATCAGCACTGACGCCCGCCAGGGTTGCGTCTTCTTCCCACTGCTCTTCTCCCTCTACACCAATGACGGCACATCTAAAGAGCCCTCTGTCAAGCTCCTAAAGTTTGCAGACGGCACCACACTTATCGGCCTCATTCAGGATGCTGAGTCTGCTTACAGACAGGAGGTAAAAGAGCTGTCTGTCTGGTGCAGTCTTAACAACCTGGAGCTCAACACATTCAAAACAGTGGAGATGATTGTGGACTTCAGGCGAAACACCCCAGTACTCCCCCTACTCACCATCATGGACAGCACTGTAACAACAGTGGAGTCATTCAGATTCCTAGGCACCACCATCTCTCAGGACCTGAAGTGGGACATTCACATTGCCCAGCAGAGGTTGTACTTCCTTCGCCAACTGAGGAAGTTCAACCTGCCACAGGAACAATTGAAGCTGAAACAATTCTACTCTGCCATCATTGAATCCGTCCTCTGCATTTCAATAACTGTCTGGTTCAGCTCAGCTACCAAATCTGACCTAAGAACACTACGTAGGATAATCCGGACTGCTAAGCGAATCACTGGTACAGCCCTCCCCACCTTCCAAGAACTGTACTTATCCAGAGTGAGCAAAAGGGCTATCACTGTCATTCTGTTGTACCGTGGTTCTTCTGTCACTAAAACAAATTCCTTGTATCTGTAAACATAGCTGGCAATAAAGCTCATTGTGATTCTGATTCCGAAAACCTGTATCAAATCACGCAAATTTATTGGCCAATGGCGCAGGCGTCCCCTTAGTGACGCTACTTCACTCGCCTAATAATAGTGAGTGCACCATCAATTCCTCAGATTCTTTACCGAAGAAGCGTCTTTGGCAGCGCAAGGGGCTTGGCAGCAAACGCAGCGTCTCGTTCCCTATTCAAGAAACATGGGTTACACATGCGTTCCCTTTCATAGGTTCACTCAACGCTGCATAATGCTGCGATGATGCAATGGCAACGATATACCATACATGCCAAACTAAGCATTGTGTCATCTGGCCTGAAGAGTGTGAACCAGACTAAACTCAGACGGCTGGTTCATGCAAATAAAGACCCAGGAACCAGGAGCTGCATCCAAATCCAGGCTGTAAAACCTGATTAAAATGTGCAAGGAGGACCACCCTGCCGCAACCCAAATATCTTCCAAAGGGACCTCTTTAAAAAGAGCCTGGGAGGATGCGACACTCCTAGTAGAGTGAGCTCTAAGGCCTAGAGGTGAAGGGAGGCTCCGCACCTCATAAGCCAGAGAGATAGTGTCCTTCACCCAATGAGAAATCCTGTGCTTGGAGCCGGCAAGCCCTCTGCGGCCAGCACCAAAGCACACTAGGCATTGGAACAACTTGTGCCACAGGCCAGAGTAGTCTTCATAAATCTTTAGGGCCCGAACAGGGCATAGTAGATGAAGCCTCTCCTCCGAAGAAGCAGCAAAGGGAGGAGGACAAAAGGAATAAAGTACGACCAACTTGGGAACGGAATGACGTGGACAAGACTTTGGAGATGCAACCAGGTCTTGGTTGCAGAAACACCTTCACAAGACCCGGGGCAAATACCATGCATGGCTCAGTCACAAAAAGAGCCTACAGATCCCCTACATGCTTGAAAGAGCCAGACTCAAAAGGCAATATAACCCGATAACCCCTCCAGGACAACTGACAAGTCCCAGGAAGGAAAAGTAACAGGATGCACAGTCCTCAAGCCCCTAACACAACGTATAAACAAAGAAACCAGACAAAGCCTGCCCAAAGGGACTTTGTCCGACTCCCGACGGGCGGCAATGGTAGTAACATAAACCCTCAAAGTAATCGCGGCTGAGAAATTCCAGCACTGAGTGAACTGGGCAGCTGACTGGATCCACTGCATGAGCCACACACCAAAACTCAAAAACCTTCCACATGGAAAAATAAAGTCTCCTATTAGAATTAGACTGAGCATTAGCAATGGTCTCCTGAACACCAGCAGGAAGATCAGAAGCTATCACTGGTTGCCACTGATCAGCTACACCCACAGTCTCCAAATCTTGGGACAAGGGTGCCAAATCCTGCCCTGGAGTTGAGACAGTAGGTCCCGATTGGAATCTCCCGCAAGGTTCACTCCACCAGGAAAGTCAACTCTGAGAACCATGTCTGGGATGGCCAGAACAGGACCATCAAAAAGAACCATCTCTGTAAAGAACCACAGGGATCAATTTGATTGGAGGAAATGCATACACTCTCAGATTTGGCCAAGAGTCCTGTGATGCAAAGAGCCTCTGCCTCACCAAAAAGACTCCAAATCTCATGCCTGTTCAGGGTGTGTTCAAAGGGGGCACGGAATCAAGTCCTGCGACACAAAGAGCCTCTGCCTTGCCGGAAGGATTCCAAACCTGAGCCACCGCCTGGAGCCAGAATCCAGTCCCCTGACCTGAGTTTCAGTCTCAACAGAAAGTCCACTGCGAGGTTCAAAGCACCCAGTACATTAACTGTTCTAAGCAAAAGGAAACACTGCCTTGAGCCCAGAGGAGACGCCGCACATGCCTGTTTAGGGTGTGCGACCGCGAACCTCCCTGGTGGTTTATGTGAGACACCACCGCCATATGAGCCTTTACTGTTAAATGGAGGAGAACATAAGTTCCAGTTGATGTTGTTGCTGAAGCACAAATGATTTTCCATGATTTTCTGAATTTACAAGACTTTTACATTTTTTAAATGTCATATTTATGAATTATATTTATTCAGATTATCATGACTGCAGGAACACTGTAGTTACATGCCAATGAAATAATTGATCATTATTTAATTTGTACAGATATAAAGCCACCAATGTAACATAAAAATAATAATAGTTTATCTTAATAATAATAGTTTATATATACAGTATATATATATATATATATATAATATATACTACTACTACTACTACTAATAATAATAATAATAAAATAGAACAACAACAACAACAACAATACATAAAGAAAATAAAAACTGAAAAAAATTATAATCGAAATAAAATACATTTTAAAACAAACATTATTTTTATACTGCGAGAAAACAATCATGGAGAAGGGAAATTGTTGTACCCTCATTGCTGTATAGCTTGTTGAGAGCGACGGCGGTGGAGTCTCCATTGATGACATCCAGGAAGAAATCAGCAGGATTGTTATGAGGTTCACAGGTGTATCCTGATACACACACACACACACACACACACATCAGTATCAGGACGTGAGTGTCTGTTCATGTGTGTGTGTGTGTGTGTGTGTTTTCATACCGATCTGACTGAAGTAATCCAGGGCGTCTTGAGCCAGGCCGTGATACACCAGTCTTCCTCCCACCAGCAGCGTGAGGCTGTCGAACAGCCGGTAGATGGAGTACCGCGGCTGATGGATGGACAAGATGATGGTGCGACCGCTGTTCGCCATTCTGAACAAACACACAGGTTAACCTGTTAACCTGCACCCCCCATTTTGGGACTCACAGCTGAAAATGACCTACCTAACTTAAAATTGTAACAGTTCCTGACTTCAGTGTGCTACACACACAATTTTGGTGTCTTTGGAAAGAAGACCCTTTGGGCTTTACTATCCATCATCCAGAGTTGATAATGCTCAAAAAGATAAAAAGTTATAGACACTGAAGTGCCTTGAAAAAAATTGTTCCACACTGACAGAAAAGTAATGGGTTGAAAGTCACATGTCTCATGAGTTTATATTTCAAATCTGAAGAAGATACCATGAAAAATTAGATTCCTGCAACCATTTTTCTGAGAATATGTCTAGTCCCCCCGTTTGAGGAAAAATATTTTTATGGCCGGCCATATAGTCAATAATCACACTCTATTCATATAGACCGTATTCACACTGATAGCTGTCATACACACAGTAATCAACCCAATAATGAACTACAATACTGACTTTATCAAATTCATCATGATTCCCATCAGATTAAATTCATTTTGTTCATTAGTCATCGTTTTCTGAATATTTATACACACACACACACACACACAAAACAATGACTAATGAATAGAACAGTTATATATACACACAATTATATATTATTTTAGTATCACTGATATACTAGTTTTGTTGGTATTTTTAATATTTTGACTACATTAAATTTTCTATTTTCTGTTTTTATTTTATTTTTATTTAACGTTTTTGTAATTTTATATGTGATTTTTATTATTGTATTTTTAAATGTCTATATAGTTTTTATTAATTTTCATTTATTACTTAGTTTATTTAGTTTTATTTATTTAATTACTTTGTTTACTAAACAAAAATGTGAAATGTTATATATGTGTGTGTGTGTGTGTGTGTGTGTATATAATTTTTATTTTTGTATCATTGATATACTATTATAGTTTTTGTTAATATTTTGAATTAAATTAAATTTTTTATATTTTTATTTATATTTTTATTTTATTTTAAGCTTTTGTTGTGTCATTTTTATTATTGTTTTTTTAATATGTATTTATAGTTTTTAATTTTTATTTATTAGCTTTAGCTTTTTAGTAGGGGTGGAACGGTACACAGATGTCACGGTTCGGTACGTACCTCGGTTCAGGGGTCACGGTTCGATACGATTTCGGTACAACAGGAAAAAAAAACAAAAAAAAACAATTCTACTATGCTCGGTTTCTTTTCATTTATTTTGAACAGAAAAAAAAAATTTCCACCTAGATGTGAAAATACTAATTTCGGTACAACAGGGAAAAAAACAAATCTACTATGCTCGGTTTCTTTTCATTTATTTTGAACAGAAAAAAAAAATTTCCACCTAGATGTGAAAATACTAAATATTATTACATTGTTATATAAATAAAATCTGCAGTACATATATACATACAAGAAATTAATTATTGAAATATATTTGATTTAGTTTACAGATAAACAAGAGAAAAAAAACAGTGCGACGCATAACGCAGCCTATATACGCTGAGTTTCAGTTCATTTTTGTGACAGGCTTAATTTGCTCACAGAAAGGAAACTCAAATAGCAGAAAGTGACATTGTTTTATTTTACAAAAGCACAATGTTTTGTTTTCATTGCGAGTGTACACAAATAAAAGCAGACCTTTATACAGTGATGCATTATTAATAAGACAATAAGTGTTTAAAGTTGATTCTGCTGGTATAAGGAAACAGTTGAAGTGATCGCGCCGGGTCGCACACACACACACACACACACATCAGTTCCAGCATTGCCAACTTGACAGCGCAGTTGGTACTTTATCAAAATAGAATACAGTGAACCAAATAGTGCTGGGCGGTATGACCAAAAAAAATCTCCGTATTTTTCAAAATTATACCGGTTTCACGGTACATGACGGTATTTTTTTTTTACATGCATGACTGGGTGTTAACCGTATTTTCTACTGATTGAGAGGAAATACTGCAGTATATTGACTTAGAATGCCCTATTTTACTGTCATGAATATGTCTTCATGACAGTATATTGTCAAGTGAATATTGTCAAAAAATACCACACTAAATCGTAACTCGACTTTTAATACATGTTAACCAGGAGTCACTCTCATTTATAATTGCGGCATCATCTGATAAAATCAACATGCATCTACACTAAAGAGCGGCTATGCGGTTGTTTTGGCTATATTACTTTTTTGTCTCTGCGTCTGAGTAACAAACAAAAAAAAACAACAAACAATAAAGTTGTTTGATATTAAGTTAAGATGTGATATCATAACAAAAATAAACACCGGTATTCGGTATGAACCGGTATACCGCCCAGCACTAGAACCAAACATCAGCGCGCCTGCCTCTGAGTACCGTGACGGTTCGGTACGAATACATGTATCGTTCCACCCCTACTTTTTAGTTATTTTAGTACTTAAGTTAAACCAAATGAAAATGAGAAATCTTGCCTTGTCAACTAGTTGAAATAAAATAAGTTTAAGTTTATTTATATTTTATCTTATATTATTTCAGTAAAAGTTTATTTTATTTCAAGAACCAAAATGGTTTAATGTTTTTTTTTTTTATGGTTTTAGTTTTACTTAACTATAATAACTTTGCTTTAAGTGACATGAATATGTTTGCACAGAAATCACTTCTTATTTTTGTTTGTTTAAAAAACAAAATATGGCAACACACACTGTCACTTTAATCAGTCTAAATAAGCTCTTTTGCACTACAAATCATTATATTTGCACTGTTGTTTACTTCACTGGTTTGCACTCTTATCTGCCATGTGCTGCTTTATATATATATTTTTTTTTTTAAATATTTTTATTTTATTTTTTTTTATTAAAAACATTATTTTATTTCATTTTTATTTTTTTATTTTTTTATCTAGCTGTGTTTTTGGGGAGAAAACATGTCAAAAGCAAACGAGATTACATATGTTGTTTACTGATTCATAAGAATGCTAAGTAACATTACTTTAGGGTAAAATAATTATTAATCATGTCATTAAGCATCAACAGAAGTCTGTGTTGATTGCACATGTAGTCAGTCAGATGAAGGTGTGTTTGGTTTGTTACCCGTGAATCGGCCACTTTGCTCAATCCCAGCTCCTGAATGAGTCTCTCAATCTTCTCATCTTTTTCTCGCTGACGGATCGACTTCGGGAGCCGTAAAGCCGCTGAGAAACGCAGATTCTCACGAACGGTCAGCGTCCCCATGACCACGTCATCCTGCAAAAAACACAAGACTTTCAGGATGTTTCATGTGTTTAAACCATGACAGAGCACTTTCTGAACACGCACGTTTCGTAAACGTCCTTAAGGAAGGAAGCAGAGCGTCTCATGACACAGCTGGTGTGATTTGAGATTAGATTAAACAATCACTGGAGGATTTCAGACTCCTGAAGAAAACACAAGACGAACAGACTGTATTAAACTCTATTTATGGAAAGAAAACAAATGAAACTGCTAAATGGTTTCGGTCCAGCTCTTCTAATCTTAGTCAGCGATAACACAAATCCCTTAGTCATGATATGTATTCTACAGAATAACAAGTTCAGCTTCCTGTTTTAACTGCTGAAGTCAGTTTTTAGAGTCAAACGTGACGTCTAAGTTTAGCGTTTGTGCTCCAGCCGTGAGGAGAATGTGCTGCTGCTTCACTAAGTGATCAGAAGAACTTAAATGTAGTAAATTAGTGTTTGTGTGGTTTATACCTGCACTACGTATCCAGACAGACATTTGAAGTTTGGAGGTTGTGGATCTCCGTCTATAAGAACCTCTCCAGAAAGACCTGCAGGATCCTTACGAGCGGCCAGAACGTCGAGAAACCTTCAGTAAAACACAAACATCATTATACAAAACACATTAAATAAATTTTTTTTAAAAATGTAAATTATATTTTATATTTTAAATACACTTATTTTAATTTAATTTTTATATTTTAAATGTAAATAAAAAATATATATGTAAATGTATTTTTACTATTTAATTTTATTATTATTTTATATTCTAAATACATTAAATAAATATATCAATAAATAACAATAATTATTGTATATAAAAATAAATTATTTTAAATGACTAAAATTTGTTATGTATACTTTCAGATGATTATATAAAGAGTGAAAAATTTAAGGGGGTCTGAATACTTTCCGTACCCACTGTATATATATTTTTTTTTTCATAATTTCGGCTCTGTATGCACCAGAACAGAATTAAAATGAAACAATCAAGATGAAATTGAAGTGCAGACTTGAAGCTTTAATTCAAGGGGTTGAACAAAGTTATAAAATAAAATGCTTAGGAATTACAACCATTTTTATACACAGTCCCCCCATTTTCAGGGGCTCAAATGTAATTGGACAAATAAATATAATCATAAATAAAAAAAAAATTTATATTTTGTTTAGAATCCTTTGCATGCAATGACTGCCTTAATGACTGCCATCACCAGCGACTGGGAATCCTCCTTTGTGATCCTTCCAGGAGTTTGGTACATTCTGGTGAGCTCAGCAACATAAAAAGACCTGGACGTCCAAGGAGGACAACAGTGGTGGATGCGGAGGATCCTCTCCATGGTAAAGAAAAACCCTTTCAAAACATTCAGTGAAGTTAAGAACACTCTCCAGGAGGCAGACGATTCTCTGTCAAAGTCTACAATCAAGAGAAGACTTCACCAGAGCAAATACAGAGGCTTCACCACAAGCTGCAAACAAGACCAGATTAGACTTTGCCAAAAAAACATCTAAAAAGCCAGAGCACTTCTGGAAAAGCATTCTTTAGACGGCTGGAATTAAGATCAACCTGTACCAGAATGACAGGAAGAAAAAAGTCTGGAGACGGCTTGGAGCAGCTCATGATCCAAAGCACACAACATCCTCTGTGAAACATTGAGCAGTGTGATGCATGAGCGTGCATGGCTTCAGTGGCTCTGGGTTACTGGTGTTTAGTGATGAGACAGAAGACAGAAGCAGCCGGATGAACTCTGAAGTGTATAGAGATATACTCTCTGCGCAGATTCAGCCAAATGCAGCAAAGCTGATTGGACGGCGTAAAAAAAGTGGAATATTCTGCAATGGCCAAGTCAATCTCCTGATCTCAACCCGATTGAGCTGCATTTCACTCGCTGAAGACAAAACTAAAGGCAGAAAGATCCACAAACAAACAACAACAACTGAAGTCAGCTGCAGTAAAGGCCTCGCAAAGCATCACAAAGGAGGAATCCCAGTCTCTGCTGATGTCCATGAGTTCCAGATTTAAGGCAGTCATTGCCTGCAAAGGATTCTCAACAAAATATTAAAAATGATAAGTAAAAATATAAAAAAAAATTTTATTTATGATTATATTTATTTGCCCAATTACATTTGAGCCCCATGAAAATGGGGGTGACTGTATATAAAAATGGTTGTAATTCCTAAGCATTTTATCTTATTTTTTATTCTGTTCTGGTGGCATACAGAGCCAAAATTATGAAAATTGTGTCAGTGTCCAAATATATATGGACTAACTGTATATATACTGTACACTGTTGTTGGAAAAAACAGCTTGTTGCTGGAAAAGCTGCTCTGTTTTGAAAACAGCTCATCTACTTTTAGTTATTCCTTGACACTCGTTACATAAACCACAACACACAGACAGACAGACGGACGGATGAACAGACAGATAGACGGATGGACAGACAGACAGACGGATGAACAGACAGACAGACAGAAGGATGAACAGATAGACAGACAGACAGACAGACAGACAGACGGATGAACAGACAGACAGACAGAAGGATGAACAGATAGACAGACAGACGGATGAACAGACAGACGACAGACAGAACAGATAGACAGACAGACAGACAGACAGACGGATGAACAGACAGACAGACAGAAAGACAGACAGACAGACAGAAGGATGAACAGACAGACGGATGAACAGACAGACAGACAGACAGACAGACGGATGAACAGACAGACAGACAGAAGGATGAAAAGGTAGACAGACAGACAGACAGATGGATGAACAGACAGACAGAAGGATGAACAGACAGACAGAAGGATGAAAAGGTAGACAGACAGACAGAAGGATGAACAGACAGACAGACAGACGGATGAACAGACAGACAGAAGGATGAACAGACAGACAGAAGGATGAACAGATAGACAGAAGGATGAAAAGGTAGACAGACGGATGAACAGACAGACAGAAGGATGAACAGGCAGACAGACAGAGACGGATGAACGGACAGACAGACAGACAGACAGAAGGATGAACAGATAGACAGAAGGATGAAAAGGTAGACAGACGGATGAACAGACAGACAGAAGGATGAACAGGCAGACAGACAGAGACGGATGAACGGACAGACAGACAGACAGAGAGACAGACAGGCAGAAGGATGAACAGGCAGACAGACAGAGACGGATGAACAGACAGACAGACAGACGGATGAACAGTCAGATAGACAGACAGACAGACGGATGAACAGTCAGATAGACAGACAGACAGACGGATGAACAGTCAGATAGACAGACAGACAGACGGATGAACAGTCAGATAGACAGACAGACAGACGGATGAACAGTCAGATAGACAGACAGACAGACGGATGAACAGTCAGATAGACAGACAGACAGACGGATGAACAGTCAGATAGACAGACAGACAGACGGATGAACAGTCAGATAGACAGACAGACAGACGGATGAACAGTCAGATAGACAGACAGACAGACGGATGAACAGTCAGATAGACAGACAGACAGACGGATGAACAGTCAGATAGACAGACAGACAGACGGATGAACAGTCAGATAGACAGACAGACAGACGGATGAACAGTCAGATAGACAGACAGACAGACGGATGAACAGTCAGATAGACAGACAGACAGACGGATGAACAGTCAGATAGACAGACAGACAGACGGATGAACAGTCAGATAGACAGACAGACAGACGGATGAACAGTCAGATAGACAGACAGACAGACGGATGAACAGTCAGATAGACAGACAGACAGACGGATGAACAGTCAGATAGACAGACAGACAGACAGAGACGGATGAACAGACAGACAGACAGACAGAGAGACAGACAGACAGACAGAAGGATGAACAGGCAGAAAGACAGACAGACAGATGAACAGACAGACAGACAGAAAGACAGACAGACAGACAGACAGACGGATGAACAGACAGACAGACAGACGGATGAACAGACAGACAGACAGACGGATGAACAGTCAGATAGACAGACGGATGAACAGACAGACAGACAGACGGATGAACAGACAGACAGACAGAAGGATGAACAGATAGATAGACAGACAGACAGACGGATGAACAGATAGATAGACAGACAGACAGACGGATGAACAGACAGACAGACAGACGGATGAACAGATAGATAGACAGACAGACAGACGGATGAACAGACAGACAGACAGATGGATGAACAGATAGATAGACAGACAGACAGACAGACAGACAGATGGATGAACAGACAGACAGACAGAAAGACAGACAGACAGATGAACAGACAGACAGACACAGACAGACAGACAGAAGGATGAACAGATAGATAGACAGACAGACAGACAGACAGACGGATGAACAGTCAGATAGACAGACAGACGCACAGATGGATAGATGGGCAGACAGACGGACAGATGGAAGAACAGACAGAGACAGATGGACGGATGGAAAGACAGATAGCTCTTACGATGATTTCCCGCTCCCAGTGGCTCCTAAAATGGCGTTCAGTCCCGGCCTCATGATACCACTAGACAAAATAACAGAATTACTTCAGAATTATCATTACCACATTTTCATTATTATCATATAATTACATAAAACAAGATAAAACCAAAGACACACAAGATGCTGATTGGATGAGCTTCATTTGAAGCTGTTGTGAAATTCAGTTTCTCTTTGGGAGACAATTATATTAAAAGACTTTTGTTTGCTTGACTACAATTAATAACAACAACAACAAATGCCATCTGACCATATCAAGTGCTTACATGTCACATTTATCCACTAGACTAATGTAACTTGGCATAATTCATATTCATGAGCTCAGCTGATTTGTTGGATGAGGAAACACCCTGAAGCAGCCGATCATCGGCGCTCATGTGTCTGATTGATACAGATAAAACAATAAGTTCAGATGAGGAAAAAAACATCCGCAGTCACGCACACTTACACAAGCAGCTGAGCGCACATGGACACACACGGGTTAATGATCAAACTCACCCGACAACCTCCGATGAAGAGCACACAAAACTCTCTCTCACACAAACACTGTATAAGGGTCACGAACTATGCTTTATCTAAAATGATTTTAAACAACATTAATATATATTAATAACAATAATATATATATATAATTTAGTTTATTATATTATGTAATTTTATATTAGAAATATGTATGTATTATATAAATACAATTAAATATTTTGATAAATATTACATATTTATTAGTAATTAATTATAAATATTTTAATATTATATTATTTAATTATGATCACAGTCATGGCCTTACAAAATATTTAAATATGTACTTTAAAAAAAAAAAAGAAAGAATATTTGCTAAATAAAGCAAAAAAAAAAAAAAAAGGTCATTCTCATCAGGGTTATTATAGTTACGAAAACTAAAATTATTTAAAAAAACTAAAACTTATTTTTTTTCAGCTAGATGCAAAGGCAACATTTCTCATTTTCATTTAGTTTAACTTCATGTACTAAAACAGCTAAAACTGAAATAAAAATGAATAAAAACTAGGTAGACATATTTACATAGTTGACAAAAGCACAACAAAATCACGAAAACTTTAACTAAAATTAAAATGAAAACTGAAAACAAAAAT